GTATCTTGTCCCCTTATTGGTCCTTTGGGTCAGGTGTCAGCCAGGTTACCTGAGCTTCTTAACCCTTTACAGGTAAAAGGATTTTGGAGTCTCTGGCCAGGAGGGATTTTATAATACTGTACACAGGAGAGCTGTTACCCTTCCCTTTATAGTTATGACAGGCTAAAACCCACTTCATTGGATGCATTTAGTGGAAAATACAGTAGGAATATATATGTACACAGAGAACATGAAAAAAGGGTGAGATTTGGGGGCATAGGTGAAAAGGGGTCAAAACCAAGGGCAGGGATAGCAGTGGTATAGAGAAGTTCCCACTCTTCCCTGTGGTACTTATGTGGCCCCATCACCACAGTATCTGAGCGTCTCACAAGGTCTAACTTATTTCTCCTCACAGCCCCTCGGTGAAGTAGAGCAGGGCTGTTATCCCCATTGTACAGATGGGGAACAGAGGCACAGAGAGACTTAAAGGCCAGATTTTCAAAGGTATTTAGGCACCTAGTGGGATTTTTAAAAGCGCCGAGAAGGTTAGGTCCTTCCTAAACCTAGCTACACCTTTGGGTGCCTAAAAACCTTTGAAACTCCGTCCCTAAGGCACTGGCCTGAGGTCATACAGAAAGTCCATGGGGGGAGTACAACCCAGGTCTTTCAGGGCTAGCTTCCTATCCAGAAGACCAGATTACATTAATCTCTCTGCGGCGTGCTGCAAAAAAAGAGGACTCTGATAGATGGGAGCCAAACCAAGACAGCCAGTTATCTGAAATGCCAGCAAACGGTTCCAAGAGGGATGTCATGGTTGACAGCATGAAAAGCAGCACAGAAGTCAGGAAGGATGGAGAATGAGAGTCAGATGAGAGGAGAACAGGAGTACTTGTGGCACTTTAGAGACTAACAAATTTATTAGAGCATAAGCTTTCGTGGACTACAGCCCACTTCTTCGGATGCATATAGAGTGAAACATATATTGAGGAGAGCTATATACACACATACAGAGAGCATGAACAGGTGGGAGTTGTCTTACCAACTCTGAGAGGCCAATTAAGTAAGAGAAAAAAACTTTTGAAGTGATAATCAAGATAGCCCAGTACAGACAGTTTGATAAGAAGTGTGAGAATACTTACAAGGGGAGATAGATTCAATGTAGCGCAAGTAGAGTAGGGGCGTTAGGAGACGAGAGCTAAGGAAGCGTTGTTCTAAGTCATCCATAAAAATGTTGGCATACTGTGGGGCCATGTGGGTACCCATAGCAGTGCCGCTGACTTGAAGGTATATATTGTCCCCAAATGTGAAATAGTTGTGGGTGAGGACAAAGTCACAAAGTTCAGCC